ATTTTTGTTAATTAAAATTTTATTTATTATATATTCTCGTAGTACATAGATTACTCAAAATGGAAATCCAACACTAATAATGCTCTTTTATTTAAACTTGTATGATAACCATTTACGCTACCCGTCCATTTAATTTTGTTTCTAACTGTATACACATATCTGTAATTTTATACATAGTAACTTTTCAATATTTTTTTAACATTAAGGATGATTAAAATTCATAAAATAAATGTATTAATAGTAATTAAAGCATGTGAAATCAAGATTGTGTTAAATAAGACAATTAACTAAAATCATAAAACTTCCATTTTGTTATTTGTATTATCAGCTATCTCATTTATGCATATTTGTATTATTTTGCTTTTTATTTGCTTAGAAAAAAAGGCAGAAAAATTAATCATGAAATTTACAATCACAATTGAGTAGCTACTACAATGTTAGCTGTACAAAAACAGAATAGCATTACAATTAATTACAAGCATTATATTATATATCAGAAGTGCATCCTTTCGAGAATTATTTATTATATGTGAGTCTGATGTTTTCGTTTTTTTCTCTCTCTTTTTGCTATAATACAATAACTTAGGTAATTACCTTCTGATATAATATTCATACGATTTCGTGCAAAAAATACATAGTTACTATTAACACTGATAAAAGTAGTATTACTACTAACTTCAACTCCAATTCAACTTCATTTTCAGTATTCAATGAGGAACGTAACAATAAAATGTATATGCATACAGTTAATATACATATGCAATCGATACCTATTTATATATGAATAACAAAACGTGCATTCATATTTTCTTAGTTTCCAAGTAGCTATGTATGATGTTCGTGACTTTCTTCGATCGAAAATTCCTTATTGCTTTCGTCAGAAAAGCAAATTGTGAAGTATTATTTTTATTATAAGAAATCAAAGACTAGTATTTTTACATGTAAATTAATTAACAAAGAAAAAGTGTTTATCAAGATGGTTCATCTTTGTATGTATTATTAAAAATGCAATCGGGAACAATCCACGACCAGTTAAACATTAATAAATAAATTCTCAATATTTTCAATGTTTTAAAAATACTTAATATTTCTTCAATGTCTTATCTTTACATGACTCTACAACCTTACGAATTAAAACAAAAGAAAAAAAATTGTGTTCGTTTAGAATCACGTAATAAAAAGTATTATGTAAGGATTTCTAAATTTATTTTAGTAGAGCGTATTAAAATTATTTTCAAAAACAAAAACAATCGACTGCGAGCTGAATGTTTACAACGGAACAACATTTGAAGACACATACATCATTAAAATTACGGCTCTAGATAGTCAAACTGTCTGTACAATCACGTTTAGATATACAAAATATTGCAACCTTCATAACTAGCATGACCAGTCTTCGTAAATATTACTGCACATTGCGTTGGTTTTTTATGTATTATCGATTCATAGTAATTATTCGTCGATGTAGAAATGCGCTCTAAAAAACGTAAAGCCACAAAAACAATAATTCATAATTATTATAGGTGCTACACTTGACATGCTTCTTTAAATTATGTACTTAATATCAATGTATATTATAATTTTAACTGAGGTGTAGCAATTTATTATTCTAACAGTTTAGTAACTAGTCTGGTTAAATTAAAATTGTTAACTCGATGTATTTTAAGATTTTTTTAGTTTTAATTTTTAAAACTTCAATCTTTCGTCTAATAATTGTAACAAGCTAGTCTCTTACAAAAAATTTATTTATTAAATAAATTGCTCCATCTTTTTCCAATATTTAAAAACACTCTTAGGTAATGAGGACTTATTAAATTTAAACTTCTCGAAAAAAGACTTCAATCACAGTTAAGGCAGGAGAAAATGTTGA